ATTTGAGAGAGAGAGAGAGAATGAGAGATAGAGAGCACAAGAGGGAAGAGGGTCACAGGGAGAAGCAGACTCCCCACTGAGCGGGGAGCCCGATGCGGGACTCGATCCCGGGACTCCAGGATCATGACCTGAGCCGAAGGCAGTCGCTTAACCAACTGAGCCACCCAGGCGCCCTCAAAACTATGTTTTCAACCTAATAGAAACAGTGATTGATTTGGGGCCATTGAAATTGAAAAGGGGACAGAGAATCCCTGAAAAGAATCTAACTTGATTCTTCTTTCCAGAAAGCGCATCCTGAAAATGTAAGGGGGCTAGTAAACTACGTCTCAGGCTCCCCAGCACCTGTGCTCACAGCTTGAGACCCCCGACGGTCCATGGGAAAACCTCTGACTCCAAGGGCCTGGTAATGCTGACACTTCTAATAATGCTGACACCTCTAATGCTTCCATTACCCGAGCTCTCCCCACCTTAGACTTGTGAAATCTACAGATAGCCCACCATCAACAGAGTTTTCAAGTTCTTCCACGCATTTTTGCAGCAGGTACACATCAGCCAACAAACATCTTCCTTAAAACAGTTAAACTGTCCACGGGGACTTACTATTTAATGGATATGGAATTTCAGCTTGGGAAGATAAAAATGTTCTGGAGAAGGATAGCGGCAATGGTTGCAAAACACTGTGAGTGTACTTAAGGCCGCTGAATTATATGCTTAAAAATGGATGAAATGGTAAACTTTCATGTTATATATATTTTACCACAATTTAAAAAAGTTACTGTTCAAGAAATACTTTAAGGAGAAACTGAAATGAACTGCTTCTGCCTACTCCCAGACCCCTAGAGTACCTCGGACACATGTATTCACTGTTAATCTCAGTGGTAGAGACATTGTCTGCTACTTTATTTCTGGTGTGTGTGTGTATATATATATATAAATATATATATATTTTTTTTTTTTTGGTATGTGTGAAATATTTCATGACTTTAAAAAGTAAAAATTCATATATTTACTTGAAAATAACTTTTTCTATAATCACTTAATATTTATTGCACAAACTACAAACTCAATATATGAAGGATGTGGTTTTCCTCCTCCCCTGGAATCTGTAATCTGAAGAAAAGGAATCCCAGCAGGGTTTTCTGCTCTCCCACTAGCAGCCCAAACCCATCAGTAACAGTGTGTCCCCAGGGAGGAGCTCAGGGCTGGCTGAGCCACAGTAGGCACTTTACAAACACCTGCTGGAAAACACCTAGAAAAATAATGAGTACAGATCATGGTATATTCTTTACCTGCCATGGAAGAGTAAGTGTCCAGGATGAGAATATAACAAGTACCTACCCTTGCCAAACACATGATAGAGTTTCTCCTGCATTTCCAACTGTGGTTCACAAATCACTAAGGAGGAGAGGACACAAGAAAGGGCATGGAAGAAAGGTCAGGAGACCAGACTGCTTTACTAATGCTATTTTGTGATCAAACAAGCATTTCTACTTATTACTTGGAAAAATCAACAAAGTTTAAGATTTAAAAGGATAGAAAACCTACCTATTTGGTGACATCAATAGAATCTATCCAAAACCATCTGATTCTCTTTCAGCTCTTTCTTGAGAGTCTCGGTTTTTTAGGTGCAACTAGAAATACTGGTCAGTAGTTTACCAAGACCAGATCTACCAAGTGTCTGATCTGCCACTTCATCATACCAGGGTATTATCTCCCATCAATCTGTCTTCTGGCAGTGAAAACATAATTTTCAAGTGATGTTAGTCTAATTAAAAGTGCAAACTGAACCAATATTATATCTTCTAAGCAATATAACCAAAAGCTAGTTGTTCTTTTCAAAAGAACCTCCACAGAAAACTCGTATTCTTGCAAATAAACTATACATACTTGCTACTTCTTCCACTTTACAGCTTTTTCAGAAGCTACTTGCAGATCAAACACAAATCTGCCGTGGGTATATGCATCAGAATAATCTATTTTTTTTTTAAAGATTTTATTTATTTATTTGACAGTGAGAGAGGGAACACAAGTAGGGGGAGAGGGAGTGGGGGGAGAAGCAGACTTCCTGCCGAGCAGGGAGCCCGATGTGGGGCTCGATCCCAGGACCGTGGAATCATGACCTGAGCCGAAGGCAGACGCTTAACGACTGAGCCACCCAGGCGCCCCAGCATCAGAATAATCTATTAATATTAATCTGACCTTGCCTAGATGCAATATCCCATGGACATGTTGAGAAAAACATCACAATTACATTTATGAGGCTATGTCCTCAGTACAAACTTCCCTTCATTTTCTACTTGCATATTTTCGGCTAGTCAAAAAAGGCTCCCTAAATTCACCACTGACAGATTTCATTAGTACATCTCCTAGGGAAGCACTGATAATTAAAATAACAGTCTAAGCTGCTAAAGCAACTGCAGTTTATAAGGAATACCTTCAGTGGCTAAGATCATTTCGTCTAAACTCTATACCCTATACCCATTTCGTCTATACCCTGCTTATTTCCTAGCAAAAAAAGTGCTATGGGTAATTAACTTATTTGTTTGTCTGCTTATTGTCGAAAATAAATGCCTAGAATGCCAGCTCCCCAGCTGTCTCACTCAGCACAGCAGTCTCCAGGCCTATGACAGCACCGGGTTTGTCCGAGGCACTCAGTATGTATACTCCAGTCGTTTTTAGAACTTACTGTTATCGTTGGTACCCTGTTATAGACATATTAATATAAGAACAAAACCAAAAAAATTTAATGCAAGCTGGAGATCAGTAAAAAGCTATTGTTCAGGCTATAATTGGCTTGGACTAGGGTGCTGGTATGAGAGATGGTTAAAAGGTGGCCATAGGTATTCATTGAAAAAAATTTTTCAAGCATGTCTGTGTTCAAATACAGAAAAGCTGGATTTCTGTTGGTTTCTGCCACATTATACCTTTCAACTATTTCTAATGTGGCCATCTTTACATTTTTAAAAATGGTTTTATTGTTCTAAACATGGCTGCCAGAAAAAATGTGAACCTCACTTTAATTCCATTAAAATCAGAGTTTGGTATTATAATATATAAACGAAATTCTGTGTGTATCTGAGGTTTTCAAGAATCTCAAACCTAATTTACTAAGTTAGCATTGAATATTTTTATAAAGAACTCCTTTCTCCATATAGTTGGAATATGATTTTGTGAAATAGAAAGTGACTCTCAAAACCGCTCAAAAGCCTAGAAGTAAGCTCCTCATTCTCTGAATATTCATTCCAATAAATTCTTTGGAGGAGCGACCTCATGAATTCGAGGGGGAGAGATTTTACTCACTTGCTGCCACGTGAGCTTCAGCCTTTCATACTGCTCCTTTCCATCTTCCGAGCAATCAGAACAAGTGAACCTAAAAAAATTATCACCCTTAAGGTAACTGAGCTGTTCCCTCAGCTGACCTAGGAGAAAAGCAAAAAGGCACATCATAGGTTTATCTACAGCAGCGTTTATCGTTTATCAACCAGATTTTCCATGCTTCCCACGTTTTTTCTCTTTTTTAGCCAACCCATGACATTAGGATGGGAATGGGGAAGGTAGAAGAAAAGATTTTTATTTTTCTAACATAGCATATACCTGTTGAGATCTGTGATTCCCTAACTTTTAGGAGAAAGATACTGGAAAAGCAAGTTTTTATTGCTGTCATTGGATTTTCCAACTGTTGACATTCCTGACTCCTATGGGTCTCTCGACACATTCTTTCAAGAAATATCTGAGTTCCTGCTGCAGGCCAGGTACTGGTATAGGAACTGGAATACACAGTACCCAAGGCAGGTCTGCTCTCGGCATTTTACAAATTTTGAGGGCCACAGATGAGGAACTAGGTCATCACAACAGCACAGTGGCTCTCCATCCTCCTGGAATGAATCAATCTCTGAAAGTGGGGTCTGGGTCTCTGCCTTGAATCACCAGAATCAGGTGATGCTGATGCTCTGAGAGACAAGACAACCACTAGAATAGAATGCAGTGTGTGCCATAGGGCAATGTGAGGGCACAGAGAAAGGAAGCCCAACCCATATGAGGAAGATGGGAGGGCTAGAAAAAGTGGGGTCTTCAGGGGGCCTGAAGGATGACTAGAATTGGCCAGGTGAAGAGGGGTGCCTGTGTGTTTGGCAGGGAGGCCAGGGGGGCTAGAGAGACACGTATTCCAGAGAGGAAATGAAAATGTGAGAAGACCTTGGGGTAAGAAAGAAATGTTTGTGAAGGAAAAGCTCACCCTAACTGCAAAGTTCTGGTTGTGTGGCAACAGGACACTGAAGAGAGAAGCTGAAGTTAGCAGGGACCCTATCGCGAAAGACAGTTTAAAATATATCCTGAGAGGACAAGGGGAATGCCACTGAGATTTTCAGGCAGGTGTGTGAATCAATAAGCAGAAACTGCTCAGAAACAAACACTAGCTAAGGCATAGAAAGTTCTGGATTGTTTCCTATGAAAATGTTAATTTATTAATAGTAACTATTATTCTGAATAGTTAAATCCATCTTAAACACATTTCCACATACCAGAAAATGACCCATTTCACATGTATGTATGTGTATACACATACACACACACAGAAATTTCTCTGACCTAGTTACAAACTCTGTTACACAAAGAATTCCTCCGGTACATATGTCTTTACTAGTCTGCCCAATGGGAAAATCCTGTTTTGGTTAAAACTCATGATGGCTGGCAGAGCATGCTCCTTGAGAGCCAGGAAGCTGGCAGATGCAAAGGTTAAGTTGAGTGAGGTATCAGGAGCATGTGTGTGTGTATCTCTTGCCAGCAGATCTAGGAGGCCAGCAAGCAGAAAACAAGAATGGTCCCAGAAAAAGAGCACAAAATACTTTTAACCTGCTAATTCTGACTTACTTCAGCATACTACGGCAGTTTTCCATGGGAGTTAAGTATTACCAGAGTGACTTGAACTTTAATTCTATACTGGGCCTATTATTTGGCCCCAAATCCGTAACATGATCTTGTTAGAACAATGTGGCTAATTCTTTAAATAACGCAGAATTTCCAATTTTCTGATTTTTATTGGGTTGCCATCAAGAACGTTAATTTAACAACGTGAGAGGTTGACAGTAATTTTTATTAATACAAATGTGTGTTTTATATAAATCTGTCATTAACCAACTAAACTAATAATAAATATAATAATTATCTTTTTATTTAGGTCCATTTTACATTCATGTTTGGTTCACAGGTTAGAAAAACAACCTTCACGCAGGAATTGACAAATCAAAGGAATTGAGAGGCTCCTTACTGGCCGGGATCCATTTTTGGCACTTGTCACAGAAGTAGGACAGCTGCTCCTCCATCCACGACACATCTCCTTCATCACTGTTGAGGGAATCCCCACTCTGATCATGAGATAAGTCCACTGATGCCTGGTCCTCCGATTCCACGATCAGGAGAGTCTCCCCCTCCACCTCCCCCTCCTCCAGCCCTTCTGAGGTAGACGTTCTCGTGGCTTCATCATCGTGCCGGCTTATCAAACTACTCAGGTGGATGTTACTATCCATCCCTTCCTCTCACAGCTCCAAAGTGCTTTTCACTAACTATCCTAAGCTCTAGACACCAAGCTTACCGGGGCTTCTACCAGGACCACACAGACAAAATTCTTCAGAAGAGTGTCTGCCTGCTTCTTGACTCAGAAGGGACTTTTAAAGCAGTAATTTAGAATATATGGTCCACTGTCCTTTTCTTTGGTCAAGCTGGAAAAGACAGTGACCAAAAAAATGTTGAAGACCTCGCTAAGCTATTCTCCATCCACACTCGCACACCCCCACTTGACACTGTCCCATCAATATTTGACATCCATTTCAAGTCATGTTTTTTGAGATCCTTTTGCCAATAACATCTTCTCTCTTTCTGCTTCAAGTTGCTCAGTCAAAATAATCTGTTCTCCCAAAAGACGAATGTTTTCTTTTTTCCGATTTTGTCTCTCAATGTCTCTGATCACTCCATCATGAAGCCTCTAAAAACGTAAGAAACAGATTTCAGTAACACCTTGAACAGGTGGTTCCCATCCTCGTGCCATTCAATCCAAGTAACAGTGCTACTAAAATACACTGAAAACTTTCAGACTCCAAATACCCAATTACTATTTCAAGTTTCTGCATAAATGTAAAATGTAATAAACCATCAGATTAATTTGGTAGTGTGCTCCACTAGTGTTATTACCAAAATAATTTCTTACTGTTATTTTAAGAAACTCCTGAACATTCAGTATAGAAACTTAATGGGAAATAACGTTAACTTAAAAAGAAAAAAAACTGCTCCTGTGTTGAACTTTAAAAGCTTAACTGATATTCAATGCTTTAAAAGACTTGGTGAGATTTACTATAGTAACTCTATGAACCACTTTCATGTTAGCAATTATCCTCGCTGAATAATAAACATCAAAGAAAGAAAAAAAAAGGTTACTGAAATTTAAAGTCAGGATGCAAGAAAGGAAAGAACTTGGTTTTTTCTAGTGTGTAAAGAGAAGTAAAAATTATACAGAATTACTAACCAGTTACATAACTGAGACTCTGCTACTACCAGAGGAAAAAATAAAGGCCCATCAGTGGTACTTTGACAAGCGCTAAAGATGGGCAGAAAATTCCAGAACATGGACCTAGCACTTAAGGTGAGACTTTTTAAAACAAAAATCCAGTCATTACTAATAATTACCATTTTACAGTTTTTAGGTCACAAAATACTCTAATTTTTTTTAAAAGCGGCCTTGTGAGGTAGAATTAATGGGGGTGGGGCCCAGGCTTGGAGTTGTTTTTTTGTTTTAAATTATCAGGTCTATTTTTAAAACTCACAAAGTACCTACTTGCTGGACCTCCTCCAAACCTACAGTGACATTCGCTCTTACCGAGGAGTTTGGGGATTTTAAGAGTTCTGGAAGAGACAATACAACCGAAAACCAACTTTTTGGAACACTGCTCCTCGACCACATCTCCAGAGACATTTGACTCCTCCCTCTCCAGGTGTTTGGTCCTGTGCTCCATAAACCATGACACACCCACCCACACTCCCACCCCACCTCCCAAAGCACACACCATTGGCTGGAATCATTCTTCCCACACCTGCCTCTGAGATCCCACCCTTCCTTTCTCAGACTTCAGCATATGGCTTAGGAGCTTGCTGTCTGGCCACCATTTGCTAACTTCCTCCAAGTTTCAATATATGCTGATTGCCTGTGACTTCCACTTAACTATCTTCCTAACCTCTAAGACCTCTTAACCATTACCCCTATAGCACTACTCTTTTTGCTGGGTTCCTGTAAGGATGAACGTCAGTACCTGGTATGTGGTAGACAGTCAAAAATGATAGAAAACCACAGTCATTATTTTATTTCTTGCTTCCTTGAAACTTCCAAGACACCCACAGTGTCAATCTTTGTTTTACTCCCTCCCAGGCGAGAAAGAAAGTCCGCGGTGAATGACTGGATGTAAAATAAACACAGGTTATTCTGGTCAATCTTCTCTTCACCTAACTTCCAAATATCTAGATCTTTCTGTTCTTCCACTCTCTAGCAGAGTGATATTCAACCCGGCCTGCATGTTAGAATTCCCTGGATAGCTTTTAAAACATACCTAAGCCGGATCCCCCATCTCCAAGAGATTCGGATTTAAGAAGTCTGGAGTAGGTTAGGTTGTAAAAAACTTCCCAGGAACACGAGATGTGTGGCTAGTTCAGAACCAAGTTCTTACCCATCCTACCCCATACTCTGAAAATCCCTGCCTTCACTGACCTCAGAGCGAAATCCTCTACTCCATCTCAAATTTCTTTTGATCACCCTCGTTTCCTTTCACTTCTTAGAAGAGGAACTCTCCTGCCTGTGCTCCAAAAGCTACCCCCCTCAGAAGCCATACTTTATTCCCAAATCTCTAACCTTTCACACCTTGTTATGATTCATCCCAATACCCCCTCCCCAAAATTTTTACACCATCACACCTTTCTCTGATTTCCACAGACTGTGAACAAGGACAAAGACCTCATCTGCTTCATCTCTGTATACGAAGCACACTGCTCAGCCCAATGCAGGAAAAGACTGTTTACTAGTTCATCCAGTTCATTACTTCCACCTTTACCAAACTAAGCTCAACCCTAACACACGCGCTGACCTAGTTGCCTGTTCTCACACTCAAGTTCAGCGTTGCTGTGAATCAGTTACAGACTCAGGGACACCTGTCCTTATCTTTGTTTCTCAACGTGCCTAGTGTGGTGCCTGACACACAGAGATCGGTCATTAAACATGCGCCAACTAGAGTAAAGAAAATAGGAACTGAGAGGCACAGAACGGACGGCCATGTCTACCCATCAGTAAGTCACGGTTATTTCCTGAAATACAAGTACCGAAAAAAAGAAAATATGGAGGCTGGTATCTCTAGTTCCTGGAATCTGGTTTCCATAGCAAACTGCTCCTTAAAAGACAAAAGAAAAAAAAAAAAGCATCTATCAAATTACCTTGGCCAAACACGGAAAGTGGATGCGGGGAAGCCTCCTTAATCCTGGGATAAAATCTCACTAGCACTGAAACACATTAGGATTGAGCCTCAACCCTGGGCCTGGGGTTGGGGAGAGGCCGACAACTTGCTGAGTGCACCCCACGCAAACCCCTTCCCCGCTTCGACTTTGCAGCGGCCCAGGTGAGACGCTGAAAGGTCGTTGTCACTGCAGGTTGGCGGTGACTTGGGAAGGGGACCGCCGACCACGCCGCGGACGGGCCTTAGCGGGAGCCAGGCGGCTGCGGCGCCGAGGGCCGGAGCTCCCAGGCGCCGGCCAGGATGGGGTCGCCCGGGGCCTCCCGGTGCACGCGGCCGCGGGGACTGCGGCGCCCAGGACCCGGCGGGCGGCTGCCGGGCCGCAGTCGCGAGAGCGCGGGGGAGCCGGGCCGCGCCGCCGCGGAGCCTACGAAAGAAGGAAAGACGAGGAGCAGCGGAGAACCACGCGGAGAGAGACCAACAGGCCCAAGGTCGCCGTCGCCACCGCGCGAGCCCCGGAAGAGGCGGTCACGTGACACCGACCTGCCGGTCCTGCCGCTGCTTCAGATGCACGCCGGCCACGGTGGCCGCCGTCAGCACCACCGAGAGGCCCAGCACCGCCTTCGAGCTCCTCGACATCCCAGCGCCGGCCACTGCGGCCTCCTCCTACCCGCCCCGAGCCCGGGGCCGTCGCTGAGCGATTCTCTGCGGGTGCGGGTCAGGCTCGACCGCTCGAGCGCAGAGCCCCGGCCGCCGGGTGCGCCGCCCGCCGCGCCAGGCTCGAGCAATCGAGAGCCGAGCGGCGTCTCGCTCCGCGGAAAACGTGGCTGCGGGTGCGGTCCTGAGACCAGGGTGCTTCTGCCCCTCCTCCCGACCCTCACACACACACACACACACCTGTCCCCTCTGAGCGCGATGGTGATCCGGGTCCTTTGCTCCATACCAGCTTCCCCAAACGCAGCCTCATTGCCCCTTCGGAGGGGCAGGTGCCACCAGAAGATGGAGTTCTTGCTTGAAGATTCATATAATTAAATGTTGTAGACACTGTCACCTGTTTTCATCTTGATGCTGTGTGCTGCCCGGTCAGGCTGTGATTTTTCTTAAAACCGAAAGCCTCTGGCTAAAGAGCATGCTAACTCTGAGCAGCGACCCCTCGTTACCTCCAGATAAGAAAAGCGCTTGTCAACTTGTTTCCCGTGTAATCTTTAAGAGATCACCTTTATACCTTTGGAACTTCAGTTCCCGCACCAATAAGACAGGATTCCCGATTCCCACATTACTAGGAAAATGAATAAATGAATGAATGAATGATAGAATGCGTCTGGCATTGTGCAAGACATCATTTTCACTTTTCCTTATGGTAGAAAGAAGTTTGGCTTTCCAGAAACTATAAAGTATCTAATAGAGCAGACAATGAAGAGAGTATTCCCATTAAGTCATTCTTTCCCACTGGAATTCACAGGGAGTAAGCTTCTTCCTCTGGAAACAACTGTGGACAATGTTGATTAGGGCCAGGTCTTGGTTAGGATCACCCAAGGGCTTCTCCATCAGTCATTTCTGTAGTGCCTTGCTATTCCAGTTTCTGTTATTTCAGCGTAAATGGCATGAGGTGATTATTGCTCTTAAGAAACGTAATAAAATAAAAAACATTAAATACTCTTTTCAAATCACATTTTGTCCACAGTATTTTTCTCAGCCAGAGGAGGATGTACCACTGAATTGGAAAACTGGATTCCTGCCTTAACAGACCGTGGAGTTAGAAGAACTTTAATTCAAGGTATATTTGTGTGCTTTTTTAATAGGAAAAAAACTATATTGGATTGCTTTTTACTTGTGGTGGACTCCAGGTATTTTTCTCTTGAGTCAGTGAGCCTTCAGCAGAGCTACATGGCCTTAGAACTTGTCAGAGTTAGATGGCCTTTCATTCTATTGTGACTAATTTTTCAATTTGTCTTCTTTAAATGTAGTTTTATTCTACTTTTAAAAATCCTTTATGTGTTAACAATGTCAAATGAAAAAGTGGATTATCTGTTTAAATATTTATGACCCTTGGCAGGGTATTTTGTGTGATTACTGTCACATAAATGACTGAAATGAGAGAATGACTGCAGACCCCTATATCCAATAATCACAATAAAAAAGACAGGGAGACGGTTAACAAGTAGCATTTGTTATGGACTGTGTTTTTGTGTCCCCTCCTAAAACTCTTATGTTGAAATCCTAACCCCCTAGTTATAGGAGATGGGGCCTTTGGGAGGTAGTTAGGTTTCAATAAAGTCACGAGGGTAGAGCCCCCAGGAGGGATTAGTGTCCTTATAAGAAGAGCAAGAGACTAAAGCTTGCTATCCACCACGTGAGGACATAGCAAGAAGCTATCTGCAAACCAGGAAGGGCCCTCACTGGAACCCAACCAGGCTGGCACCCTGATCTCAGAATTCCCAGCCTCCATAACTGACAAATCTCTGTTGTTTAAGCCATGCAGTCTTTGGTATTTTTGTTATAGCAGCCCAAGCTAAGCAGCAATGAACTGTTCCCCAAAGTTAAGTGTGGGTGTGGATTCCAGCTCCAGAGTCAGTATCACTTAATATAGAAGATTCAAGACCCACTTCTCTGTCAGAACCTTCCAGCAACTCTCCTCCAGGAGCCAGGTGCTGATTGGTCTTGAATTCCTCACTCTCTTTTTCTCAATGGTAAATCATCACGTATGCCAACTAAATGGAGAAGTCCTGCCTAACCATTGGAGAATCTCGGTAAGAGGTGCTCCTGAAATAATCCAAGAGGTACGTACAGTCAGGGCTCCTACTACAAGGTAGAAGGCATAAAATTGAGATCCATCCACCCACAGGGAGGGTTAAAAAAAGTCACTTCATAATATTGGCACTTAGCACATTAATGTGCTACATGCATTTCAAAGCTGTTTAATCTCTTTACCAGGATCTATTTCCTCCACCCCCAGCTCCCACTCTTCTACCCTCCGCTTCTGTGAGTTTGACTTTTTTAGGTTCCACATATAAGTGAGATCATACAGTATTTGTCTTTCTGTGTCTGGCTTACTTCACTTAGCATCATACCCTCCAGGTTCATCCATGTTGTTGCAAATGGATTTCCTTCTTTTTCATGGCAGAATAATATTCCTGTGTGTGTGTGTGTGTGTGTGTGTGATATTCTTTATCCATTCATCTGTCAGTGGACACTTACAGTGTTTCCATATCTTGGCTATTAATGCTGCAACTAATATGGGAGTATAGATAGCTCCTCAAAATCCTGATTTTATTTCCTTTGGATGTATACCCAGAAGTGCAATTGCTGAATCACATGGTAGTTCTATTTTTAATTTCTTGAGGAATCTGCATACTGTTTTTCATAGTGGCTGTACCAGTTTACATTCCTACTACTTTACTCCACATCCTCACCAACTCTTCTTACTTCTTGTCTTTCTGATGACAGCCTCTCTAACAGGTGTGAGGTGATACCTCTTTGTGGTTATAATTTGTGTCTTCCTGATTTTCCTGACAATTAGTGATGTTGAGCACCTTTTCATCTATCTGTTGACCATTTCATTTATAAGACGAATGAGTTGTGGGGATCTAATGTACGGCATGGTGACTAGAGTGAATCATACTGTGTTGTATACTTGAAATTTGCTAATGGAGTAGATCTTAAGTGTTCTCACCACACACCAAAAAGGTAACAATTTGAAGAGATGGATGTGTTAATGAGTTTGATTGCAGTCATTATTTCACAATGTGTAGATGTATCAAATCATCACATTGTACACCATAAATATAAACAATTTTTATTTGTAAATTATTCCTCAATAAAGTTAAGAAGAAAAGAAATTGTGAGAAAAATTTTAAAGCACCAAGAAGAAAAAATAAATTATACAAACACATATACACACATCAAAAGAAAAGACAAGAAGTACTGATATAGCCATTTGCAACAATGTGGATGGAACTAGAGGGTATTATGTTAAGCGAAATAAGTCAATCAGAGAAAGACAATTATCATATGATCTCACTGATATGAGGAATTTGAGAAACAAGACAGAGGATCACAGGGGAAAGGAGGGAAAAATGAAACAAGACAAAACCAGAGAGGGAGACAAACCATAAGAGACTCTTAATCCCAGGAAACAAACTGAGGGTTGCTGGAGTGGAGGGGGTTGGGAGGGATGGGGTGGCTGGGTGATAGACATTGGGGAGGGTGCATGCTATGGTGAGCGCTGTGAATTGTGTAAGACTGATGAATCACAGACCTGTACCCCTAAAACAAATAATACATTATGTGTTAATAAAAAAAAGTTCATTTAAGAATGCCAAAAAAAAAAGAATATGCTATATGATATATGCTACAACATGGATGAATCTTGAGACCTTGAAAACAGTATGCTAAGTAAAAGAAGCACAAAAGATCAGGTATTGTAGGATTCCATTTATTTAAAGTGTCCAGAATAGGCAAATCCCTGTTTGCCAACGGCTGGGGGATTTGGGAGATGGGGAGTAATGGCAAATGAGTTTCTTTTGGGGAGTAACGAAAATGTTCTGGAATTAGATCATGGGGATGGGTGCACAACTCTTGACTCTGCTAACACCCATTGAATTGGGTACTTTAAAGGGTAAATTTTATGATATATTAATAATTTCACTGAAGCTGTTAAAAGAAGGTGAAAAAAGGCTGTTTATATGTATCAACTCATTTCATCTTCACAATGAACCTACAAAATGGGTGCTGTTCATGTCCCCATTTTACAGGTGAGGAAACTGAGGCACAGAGCAGTATAAAACTTGCCCAGAGCCCACAGCCAGAAAGTTACAGAGCAAGCTAACTGGTTTTTAATTTTGTTTTCAAAGACGTAAAAGATTAAATTTGCCTGGTTTAAAGTTTAAAACAGAGAACATATATCTTCTGTCAATAGATACAAGGAGAATATGTGTATCTAGAATCTTCCAGTCCTGTATTTTCACGACTTAAAAAGTGGGAGGAGAGAGCTAGGCAAGAGAGGGAGGAGAGGAAAGGAGAAGCCGAGGCACTGATGGGAGAGGGGAGGGAGAGAGAACCCGAAGAGAACAGAAAAACCCCCAGGAATCCTCCAGAGGTTCTGGGAGAATAGCATTCACCTCCCTGGGATGTTCACTGGAAAATGGACTTCTGAGAGATATGCCCCATTCATATGGCCCCTTGGAGTTCTGGTTTGGGGTCTTCCATTCCTCCTTTTGATAGGAGAGCCTTGTAGCATCCAGCAGAATATTGTTCTCAGAACATAGTCTCTGTGAGCTAGGCTCTGCAGGAACAAAGAGGTGGGAAGCAGGGATTCTGGCTTCACTCAGGGGATAATCCCTGACCTTTGGAGCCTCAGCTTCCTCTTCTGTACTATGGGTACAATGATATGGCTGTTACCTCCTTGGCTTTCTGGTTGAGACAAAGAATTAGTATCATGGCTGCACCAAAGCCAGGCAGGTAGTGATAATGCAAGTTGGAGCATCCCCGCCAGGGAGCCTTAAGATGGGAACCCCTGGGCCCTGGGGGGAGGGGGACGGCTCCTGTCACTACTGCTGCTGGGAGTGGTCCTGAATCCTTGCTCACATATTTTGGAAGTGTCTCTTTGTTTGCAGCTCAGTGGGCCTTCCGGTGACATCTCAGCAGGGGCAGCAATAAGGCCCCTCACCAAGCTTGCCCAAATCATAGATGAGTTTCATCGTTTCCAAATACATGGTGTGACTGAGTTCTTTTGGATTCAAAATCCAGTCACATTATCAGAAAAAAAAATGTCAACATTACCATTGTTAATGGAAGAAAATAGCTATTAGAGACTTTAAATATAATTTCGACTGCTCGGGGCACCTGGGTGGCTCAGTCGGTTAAGCGTCTGCCTTCGGCCCAGGTCATGATCCCAGGGTCCTGGGATCCAGCACTGCATCGGGCTCCTGGCTCAGCATGGAGTCTGCTTCTCCCTCTCCCTCTGCCCCTCCCCCTGCTTGTGCTCTCTCTCTTTCTCAAATAAAGTAAAAAATCTTAAATCACAAATCTTAAAAAATCTTTAAAAAAAGTCTTGATCAGGATTTATGTGCAGACCTTTTATTTTTCATTTTTTTCATTTTTGTTTTTCTTAAGTTTATTTTTTAGTAATCTCTATACCCAGTGTGGGGCTTGAACTCACGAACCTGAGATCAAGAGTCATACCTTCTTCGGACTGAGTCAGCCAGGTGCTCCTCTGTGCAGATTTAAACATAAAACTTGGTATAAAAAAGACACAGAGAAACAAGCTGTAGTTTTTCATTTAAAAAAAAATCACAGAGTTGTTACCAGGAAATTTTACATGGATTCAATATTTAAATCTGCCCCCACACTTTGTTTTTGTTGCTCTTCTCGTAATTATAGAGTATCATAGATTTTTTTGTTTTTATCTTTATTTTTTTTAAGAATATATATAAAGACAGTGTAAATAATGATTATCCATGAGGTTGCATTTAAGAGTCTCATGCTCTACAAACAGAGCTAGCCAGGCGCCCTTCCATGAAGCTCCATTTAGAATTATCCAAGCTCCCTCAAGCTGATCCCATTGAGCTATACAAATACCCCTTTTTTATGTATATCAGGATTGGACAAAGATTTGGAAACATGGCTGGTTAAAGACAATTTGTTTTGTGGGCCAGAACTTCTTTTTTTTTTTTTTTAAAGATTTTATTTATTTATTTGAGAGAGAGAATCAGAGAGAGAGAGAGAGAGAGAGAGAGAGAGCATGAGAGGGGGGAGGGTCGGAGGGAGAAGCAGACTCCCCGCCGAGCAGGGAGCCCGATGCGGGACTCGATCCCGGGACTCCAGGATCATGACCTGAGCCGAAGGCAGTCACTTAACCGACTGAGCCACCCAGGCGCCCTGTGGGCCAGAACTTCTGAACCTCATGTCTCTGCCTTTCTCCTAGTGTCCTGGTATCCTGAGATCATATGAGCTCCCACCCCTCTCAACTTTGGACTGACCTAGATGTGCCAAGAATAACCACTGCTCTCCCCATAGAGGGACAATAGTGCTCCATTCACAACTCCTGTCCCTTCAGTGTCGGTTCTGTTGGGCATTGGAAACGGGGCCAGTGGTGACATTGAAACAGGAAGCCTCAGAAGCATATCTGCTCAAACTCAGGTGTGCTGGACGCCTGTGGGCTTTGAGGATACCCCACCCTTGCTGAGTTGTTTTCAACCCTTGAAGTCCCTTTGAAATTGATTGCTTGCATGATCATTCTTCCTATGTAAAAGCACTGGGAGACACCACCTCTGCCATCAGCCTGAGCTTAATTTCTAAGACAAAAATAGAAATCTGACCTTCTTAAAAACCTCTATGGCTCTGCACTCCTAGGGGATGAAGTCCCATACTGCCCTCTGCCCTCCCCTCCAGCCTTTTCTAAGGAAAAGGAAATATCAAAAAGAAGTACAGGTGGAAATCAGGGGCTTGGGGAAGAACCAAGAAATGAAAACCAAATCGGAGGAGTACAATCATCTCCCTATGTTTGAACAATGTGGTCACACAATACTTCTTCCACTTTAACTCATACAAGGGCAGGATTTGAAAAAAAAAAAAAAAATGCCTTCACCACCCAGTGTGTAATTTGGCTTGTGTTTTGTGGGCTTGAATCGGGGCCAGGTCTTTGCAGCTATTATGGGAAAGCTGGGTTTCCAAGTCACTTCTGTTTTAGGGAATATTAATCATCAGTACTCTAGTAGGAGATATTAATAGGAAGGCATAGGTTTAAAGTGGAATAGATGGTGGGCGCGAATGTAGCGGGTGAGGGCGGGCGCCTAAGGCAGTGGATGAGAAGGCTATACGGGGCAGGTCTCTGATAGAAAGAGGAGGCAGCGAGGGGGCCGATTTGTTTAGGAAGAAGGTGGAGGGTGTCAGCTGCATTGGCACCAGCATCTGACCTTTTCGTAAATGTTCCAATCTCAACACCAAATGAGTGCGGAAACATCACATCACATGGTAGCCTGTAAAGCACCCTTAAGACTTCTTAAAAAGCAAACATGGAGCTCTGCCTCGTGTATGGCCCTGTAGTGGGCTTTAACAGGCAGGGAATTTAACAGGGCCCCATCATCTCCAGGTTTAAATCTGAAGTCAGCCCTCAGCATGTAAAGCAAAAATCACAGTTGAAACTGCCCTTGAAAATCCCGGAGGAAGGTGATGTGTTGGAATCAATAGACTTCATTTCAGTAAGTCCAACACTGTTTTTCCTCTGGCACTGAAATTGATCGCTGTGAATTCAGTGGAGGATCTATTTAATTTACTTGGAATTCTGTGTAGGAGATTTGTCTCTTCTCTTCCATTTAGTAATGTATTCAATCATTTATATCAGTGTGGACTTACACGTACTTATTTTATACTTTGGTTTATAACACAGCATTTCTTTATCTTGTGGCTCAAATTGTGGCCGTTTTGGCCACTGGGAGCTCTTTCAGCAGGCTCCTGTACCCTTTGACACATCCCCACCAACGGGTCTTTTTTTTTTTTCTCATACTTGCTTACTCTCTGGCACTACAAGATACTCCAGCATCATTTGGTGTGAACTTGACACCCTTGTTAAAAATTATTGGCCATATACGTGAGGGGTTACTTCTGGGCTCTCTGTTCTATCCCATTGGTCTGTATGTCTGTCCTTATGCCAGGCAGAACAACACTATTTTGATTACTGCAGGTTTATAATAAGTTTTGAAATCAAATCTGAGTCCTCCAACTTTGATATTTTTCAAGATTGCTTTGGCAATTTGGGGTCACTTGAGATTGCATATGAATGTTAAGATTGGTGTTTCTAGTTCTGCAAGGAATACCACTTGGATTTTGATAGGGATTGCACAGGGTCTGTAGATCACTTAGGGGAATATTGTCCAGTGCTAAGTCTTTCAATTCATCAGGAAATGTTTTTCCATTTATTTATATCTTTCTTTAATTTGGGGGGTAGTATTTTGAGTTTCCAGCGTACAAGTCTTTCTCCTCCTTTGTTAAATTCATTCCTAAGTATTTAATTATTTTTGATGTTGTTTTAAACAGAATTGTTTTCTTAATTCCTTTCATGGACTGTTCATTGTTCATGTATAGAAATGCAGCTGGGGGTGCTGACGTGACTCAGTCTGTTAAGCGCCTGACTCTCGATTTCGGCTCAGGTCATGATCTTGGGGTCCTGAGAGCAAGCCCCGCGGGGGGGGGGGTCCATGCTCAGTGGGGAGTCTGATTGAGATTCTGTGCCTTCCTCTCCCTCTGCCCCTCTCCCTCCCTTGTGCTCTTTCTTTCTCTCTCTCTTTAAAATAAATAAATCTTTAAAAAATTGCAGGTGAGGGGTGCCTGGCTGGCTCAGTCATTAAGCGTCTGCCTTCAGCTCAGGTCATGATCCCAGGGTACTGGGATCGAGTCCCACGTGGGGTTCCCTGCTCAGTGGGGAGCCTACTTCTCCCTCTGCCTGCCACTCCCCCTGCTGTGCTCTCTCTCTCTCTGACAAATAAATAAATAAATAAAATCCTTAAAAAAACACAGGTGATTTGTGTACATTGATCTTGCATCCCACAACTTTACTGTATTTATTAGCTCTGTTTTATTGTGTATAGACTCTTCAGGGGTGTCTGCATATAAAAGTGTATTACCTGTAAATAGAGATAATTTCACTTCTTCCTTTCCAATGTAGGTGCCTTTTCTTTTTCTTGCCTGGTTGCCCCGGCTAGGACTTCAGTACTATGTTGTGCAGAAGTGGTAAAAATGGGCATCCTTGCCTTGTCCTGGATCTTAGGGGAAAAACTTTCAGGCTTTCACCATTGGGGATGATGTTAGCTATTGGTTTTTCATATATGGCCTTTATCATATTGAAGAAGCATCCTTCCATTCCTAGTTTATTAAGTGTGGGGAGTTTTTTTTCTTAAAAAGTTAGGTGTTGAATTTTGTCAAATGCTTTTTATCAGCCAAGATGATTATGTGGGTTTCTCTTTCATTCTGTTAATGTGATGTATTACACTGATTGATTTTTGTATGTTGACCCAGGCTTGCATTCCAGGAATAAATCTTACTTGGTCAAGACAGATAATCTTTTTTAATATGCTGCTGAATTTGGTTTGCTGGTATTTTTTTTAACAAATCCAAATTTTTATTTGCAGGGCCAGTTATCGTTTGTACTCAGTTTGCTAGTATTTTATTGGGAATTTTCCCATCAAAATTCATCAGGGATATTGGTGTGTAAATTTCTTTTCTTATAGCATATTTGTCTGTTTTTCGTACCAGGGTCTCATAGCATAGTATTCCCTCTTCTTCAGTTTTTTAAAGAATTGGGGAAGGATTGGTGTTCATTCTTTAAATAGCTGGTAGGATTCACCAGTGAAGTCATCTGACCCAGAACATTACTTTGTTGGGAGGTTTTTGGTTACTTATTCAATCTCAACAATGTAGGTATATTTGGATTTTCTATTTCTTCATGATTTAGTTTTGTTAGATTGTTTCTAGAAATTTGTCCATTTCATCTAGGTTATCCTGTCCATTGGCATATAAACTTTCATATTTTTATTTCCACAAAATTTATAATAATGTCCACACTTTCATTTCTGATTTTGATGATTTGAGTCTTTTATATCTTTTTTTCCCCAGTCAATTGAACTTAAAGTTTGTCTAGGGCCACCTGCCTGGCTCAGTTGGTGGAGCAAGCAATTCTTATCCCAGGGTTGTAAGTGCAAGCCCCACGTTGGGTATGGAGATTACTTAAAATAAAATCTTTTAAAAAATAAAAAAAAGCTTATTTCATTGATCTTTTTGAAGAATTAACTTTTAGTTTTATTGATTTTTTTCTGTTGCTTTTTTTCTATTGTTTTTTCTATCCTCTATTTCATTTCTATCTCTGCTTTAATCTCTATTATTTCTTTCTTTCTGCTGGATTTGGGTTTGGTTTGCTCTCCTTTTCAGTGTAAGGTTAGGTTATTGATCTGAGATATGTCTTCTTTTTCAATGTATGCATTTACTGCTATAAATTTCCCTCTTAGCACTGTTTTCACTGAATCCCATACATTTTGGTATGTTGTGTCTTTGTTTTCATTTGTCTCAAGGTATTTTCTAATTTCCCTTGTGATTTCTCCTTTGACCCATTTTTTATTTAAAAGCATGCTGTTGGGTGCTTGGGTGGTTCAGTCAGTTAAGCATCTGCCTTTGGCTCAGGTCATGATCTCAGGGTCCTGGGATGGAGCCCTGCATCAGGCTCCCTGGGGGGCAGGGAGTCTGCTTCTCCCTCCTCTCCTGCCCCTCCCCTCTGCTCATGCGCTCTCTGTTTCTCTCAAATAAATAAATAAAATCTTTAAAAAAAATAAAAGCATGCTGTTTATTTTTTCTTTTTTCAAGTTTTTATTTAAATTCCAGTTAATTAACATACAATGTGATATTAGTTTCTGGTGTGGAATTTAGTGTAAAAGCATGCTGATTAATTTACACGTATTTGTGACTTTTCCAGTTTTCCTTCTGTCATTGATTTCTTGCTTCATTCCATCACGATCAGAAATATAATTTGATTTTAATCCTTTAAAATTCATTAAGACTTGTTTTTTAGCCTAACATATGGTCTTTCTGGAAAATGTTCAGGAAATCAGTTGAGAAAAATGTATACACTGCTGTTGGGAGGAGTGTTCTGTATATGTCTGGTTAATGGTGTTGTTAAAGTCCTCTAGTTCCTTATTGATTGTCTATCATTGTTGGAAGTAGTATGTGGAAGTCTTCTACTATTATTATAGAAATGTCTATTTCTCCCTGCAATTCTGCCAATGTTGCCTTCTTATATTTTGATGTTCTAAGGTTTGTTGTACATATGTTTATAACTGTTACATCTTCTTGGTGAACTGACCTTTTTATCAATATATTTTATGCTTCTTTATCTCTTATAACAGTTTTTTACTTAAAATCTGTCTTGTTTGATATTAATGTAGGCACCTCTGCTCTCTTTTGGTTGCTGTTTGCAT